AATGAGTGGGGCTGAGAAGGTGGCTCAGTGGTACAGCACTTGCCTTGCATGCATGAGGCCCTGGGTTCAATTCCTCAGCACCACATAAGCAAAAAGAAAAAAGCCGGAAGTGGCGCTGTGGCTCAAGTGGTAGAGCGCTCGCCTTGAGCTGAAGAGCTGAGGGACAGCGCCCAGACCCAGAGTTCAGGCCCCACGACCGACAAAAAAAAAAAAGAAAGAAAGAAAAAAAAAAAAAAAAGAAAATGAGCAAAGATCTTGCTTGAGCAGACATTTCTGCAAGACCATGGACAAATGACAGATACCTGAAAGAATCAACCTAAGTTTATTTTGGCTGTGGTTTCAGAAGTTTTGGTCATGGCTTTGGGGCTGTGTTGAGGCAGAGCATCATGGCTTCAGTAGAAACACGGCTTTTTACCTCATTGTGACCAGGAGAGAGGAGAGGTGGGGTGAGAAGAGAGGAGAGGGGAGAAGGAAAAAGGGAGAGTGCTCTTGAGGACACGCCCCCAATAACCTCACTTCCTTCCACCAAGCCCCGCCCCATGAAGGTTCCACCAACTCCATGTTATCACAGGCTGGGACCTAGCCTTTGACATGTGGGCACATTCAAGATATAAATTACAGATTAGGGAGATACAAATCAACAAGTCAACCTACAGAATGGTTTTAATTTAATGAAAGACAAAGAAAAATAATTAGTGTTGCCAGCATGTGGAGAAATGAGATCCCCATGAAGCACTGGAAGCATGAAATGGTACAAGGCTATGGAAAACATTATGGCAACTCTTCAACAAGTGAAATGTGGTATGAACAGGGGAAGAATGAAGAATAAAGGGCACCCCTGCATTCCAGCACCAGACACATCCCCTTAACCACAAAATGCCCAAATGACTCACATCACTGTGTGTGTCTGAGGGTAGGGGTGGGGGTACTAGTCCTGGACCTTGAACTCAGGACCTGGGTGCTGTTCCCTAGCTGTTTGGCTCAAGGCTAGTTTTCTACCACTTGGGCCACAGCTCCACTTATGGCTTTTTGCTGGTTAATTGGAGATAAGAGCCTCACAGACTAATCTGCCCTAGCAGGCTTTGAACCATGATTCTCAGATCTCAGCTTCCTGTGTAGTTTAGAGGTGTGAGCCACCTGTTCCCAGATGATTTTTAATACATAGATATAATACATGTAGTCACTAATGAAGATTGCTTGTGCTAGAGAAATGGTCCAAAATATGCATCTGAATAAATTACTTGCCATTGCAGCTTTGCCATGGGTGTCTAGCTAAGTGTAACAGGATTGTTTAATGAAGTACTATTAGGTTGGAAACACTCTTGAGTGCTGGCTGATAGGGGGTGGGGAAACCTAACTATAGCCCCTGATGATTATATTACTTAAAGCTTTGCCAGTGGAGACCAATGAATAATTAAACAAAAAATTATTACAAAAAGAATTTATTAGACCAACACACCGATAGAATGAAATCTAAGGATTTGGTTGGAAAGCCACCGGGCTTTTAAAACAGCAGAAGTCCAAAGTCACATGCTTCAAGCATTTTCCTGTGACAGTGCATGGGAGAAGGAAGGATTAGGAATCACAGCACCAAGCTAGTTGCTAGTTCACACAAGAGTCTGCACCTCCCTCCCTGCTCCTACTCTTCGGCTGAAGTCTGTGATTACCGTACCTGAGAGGACTGGAATGAAATATTTCCCAACGTGTCACAGAAATTCATCCTCTTTGAGCTGGGCAGAGTGTTGCATGTCTGTAATCCCAGCAATACAGGAGGCACAGTTAAAGGAACAGAAGTCCCAGACCAGCCCCACACAAAAACAGAAGATGTTATTGGGGAAAAAAATTACAAAAGCCTTCAGGGGGTAGGGGTGTGGTTCAAGTGGTAGCATGCTTGCCTTGTAAGCCAGAGGCCCTGAGTTCAAACCCCAGGACTACCAAAAACTTTAAACTCTATGCTGCAGATCTTACCTTCAAGCTTTTGAATTTCCCTGTCATGCACATGGAATGTTGCTTTGGAGGAACCAACAGTTATTTTTAGAAAGTATTACCAACATGGCAAGTGAATAAAATTATATTCTCTATTTACAGTAATTGCATTTTTTAATCTCATCTGGCACCAATTGTCTTTTAGAGCTATAATGCATTGGTTGGAAACATTCATCTAGATAAAAGAAAAGGCATCTAAATAGCAAATCATACATAAGTAATATCTACTCTCGAAGCTTAGAGTCAGGCCGAGCACTGGTGGCTCACATCTGTAATCTTATCTACTCAGAAGGCTGAGATCTGAGGATGGAGGTTCCAAGCCAGCCTGGGCAGGAAAGTCCATCAGTCTTATCTCCAATAAACCACCAGAAAACTGGAAGTGGCACTGTGGCTCAAGTGGCAGAGCACTAGCCTTGAGCTGAAGAGCTCAGGGACAGCGCCCAGGCTCAGAGTTCAAGCACCATGACCAAAAAAAAAAAGCTTAGAGTCACATGAATATGAAGTCTTCAGTTAAGTTAGGAAAAATAGGGAATATTTTCTAATTTCTACCATTCCTGATCATTAGGAGCCTGTCATGGTGGCTCAGCCTATACCCCTAGCTACTCAGAAGGCTGAGATCCTGAGGATGGCAGTTTGAAGCCAGCCCAGGCAGAAAAGTCTTTGGACTCCATCTTTAAAACAACCAGAACAAAGCAGGGCTGAAGGCATGGTTCAAGTAATAGAAGGCCCAGCCAAACAAACAATCACAAGACCCCAAAATTCAATGCCTGGTACCACAACAAAGAAAAACATCCATAGGCAACTTAAGATTATAATATAGTGTTTTCACGTTACCAATGTACCTTGAAGACACTGCTCATTAATTATCAGTGAGATAGGCTACCAAGAAATAACCAGGAACATAGTATCCAAATAGCTAATCAAAGTAAGAAAGCAGGGAAACAAATGAGAATAAAATAGATGGCATAGAGTTGGGGGTCATTTGAGTTCTGAGCTTAGCCAGCAGCTCATCACATTTCATGGAACGCTGATGGTAGAATAGTCTGCACAAAACTGGTAAGGGATCTTTACAGAACCTGATTTTGTTTTGTCAGTCGTGGGTCTTGAACTCTGGGCCTGGGCGCTGTCCCTGAGCTCTTCAGCTCAAGGCTAGCACTCTACCACTTGAGCCACAGTGCCACTTCCAGCTTTTTCTGCTTATGTGGTGCTGAGGAATCGAATCCAGGATCTCATGCATGCGAGGCAAGCGCTCTACCACGGAGCCACGTTCCCAGCCCCCAGGAACCAGATTTTAAGACAGATGTTCAAAGCAGGAGTTGAAAACACATGTATTAAGCTGCTCGGGTGAGTCCACTTCCTACAAACTTTCCGTCTCTGGGTAGCTTTTAATCCTGTTTCCTTTCCAGCCCTTACAACCTTTCACTCATTCACCATCATGGAGAAACTGGAACAAGTCAGAATCTAAGATGACCTAAAAATGTTAAATTTATACTCAATGGCTCAAGCCACCTATCTACTCAGTGCGCTGACATCTAAAGATTTGTGGTTCAAAGCCAACCTGGGTAGATAAATCAAAAAAATTCTTTTCTCCAGTTAACTAGGGGGTTGAGGGGGAGGGAAGCCATAGTTGAGATGTGGCTCAAGTGGTAGAATGTTAACCTTGAGATTAAAAAAAAAAAAAAAGCCGGAGGTGTAGCTTAAGTGGTAGAACAAGAGACTTGAACCAAAAAGCCAAGCAAAAGTACAAAGGCCCTACATTCAAGCCCCAGTTCACACACACACACACACACAAACCCCAAACTTTGTGATATGTGTCCACATGCTTGTGGAGCTAACTCTACCCAAATTTGGTTCTGATCGCGAAAATCTAGAGCCAGGCCTAAAGTTTTCATCAAATACTGCCCACTGTGCAAAACAGGTCGATTTACTACACAGATTTAATCTAGATTCTTTGGATCATTGCTCCCTACCCTCATTACTATCTTTAAGAATTTGGGGTCTTCCCAAAGTGTTCTCAAGGCCTGCAGTGCAGCCAGGCTGTCCCCAGCAGGTGAATCTAGACTCCACCCTGAGCCACGCTTCCTGGCACAAACTTCTGATCTGCTCAGAAAGATGAACCGTTTTTTGTATTTATCAGTGTGGTTCTTATGTCCAAACCTTGAATGAGATCTAAAAAGTTCAGTTACTCATGCAAAAAGTAGTCCATTCCACAGCTGCAGCAAGCACCCAGTTCTCCCCAGCTTTGTTCAGGAAGAGGGAGGAGCCATTCTATTTCAACCAATAATTATCAAGAGAGCCAGGATGAGTGGCTCATGCCTGTAATCCTAGCTGCACTGAGATCTGAGGACTGTGGTTCCGTGCCGGCTCAGGCAGGGAAGTCTGTAAGACTCTGATCTCCAATTAACCACCCAAGAGCAAGAAGTGGAGATGTGGCTCAAATGGCGGGCTGTCAGCCTTGAGCGAAAAAGCTAGGCGAGAGGGCGCAAGGTCCTGAATTCAAGCCCCAGTACCGGTGCACACACACACACACACAGAGACACACAGACACACACAGACACAGACCCACACAGACACAGACAGACAGACAGACAGACACACACACACACACACACCCCAAGAGGGAAAGCGCTAGGGGGGGAAGCTCCTCCGCTCAGAGTGGGCTGGAATCTACCGAGACTCCATCTCTAGACTTGGTGCAGTGAGCATCGCTCCAGCCCAGCGCCGAGTACCCTAATCCTAGAAAGAAAAGAAGAGAGAAAGCCCTTGAACGAAGAGCGAAGAGCGAGCCGTAGGAGTGGAGCATTGGAGGCAGCCTTGTCTCAGGACGCGGCCCGGGCCGCTCCGAGGTCGCGGGACGGGGTGGCCCCCTGGCGGTGTCGCCGGCTGCCGGGAGAGATGGGGGGCCGCGAGAGGGTGGCCCTCGTGCGCCTGCGCCCCTCGGGGCAAGGGGGGCGCCCGGGACCAGGCCAGCCAGTCTCGATCCGGACGATGCGAGGGTCCCCGGGGCTCCAGGTTCATAGGTGTGGGGCGTAGAAGGGGGTCAAGTAGGAGGCCCCGAGAAAGGGCGCAAAGGGGGGCCCGGCGGCGGCGCTCAGCGGGAAGGAGGCGGCGGGGAAGAGGACGTTGGCCGCGGAGTAGGGGGCAAACGTCTGGAAGGGGAGCGCTGCGGGGCCGGGCGGGCCGGGGCTGCTCCCCGCGCCGCCGCCGCCGCCGCCGCACGTCCCCGCCGCGCCCGCGGGCGTCCCGGGCTGGGGCGCGCCGCCCCCGGCCTGCGCCGCGCCGTCGGCGCCCGGGTTCTGCTTCTTCCACTTGGTCCTGCGGTTCTGGAACCAGATCTTGACTTGCGTCTCGGTGAGGCTGAGCGACAGCGCCAGGTTCAGGCGCTCGCACACCGACAGGTAGCGCGTGGCCCGGAATTTGTTCTCCAGGGCCACCAGCTGCTCGTAGGTGAAGGCGGTGCGCGCGCGCCGCGGCTTGGCCCCGCTGGGCTCGGCGCGCCGGCGCCGGGGTCGCGGGGAGCCGGGGGAGCCCGGGGAGCCCGGGGAGGCGGGGAGGCCGCCCGCGCCGCGCTCCGCCGCCGCCGCCCGCGCCTCGGGGGAGCCCGCGGGGCCCGGCTGCACGCGCTCCGCCCGCTCCGCTCGCCGCGCCGGCCCGGACTCGTCCGCGTCCTCCAGGTCTTCGGCCTCAGAGCCCTCCAGCGGGGACGCGGGGCCCGCGCCTCGGCCCGCGGCGTCTGCGTGAAGAAGAAGGGGGGGTGTGACAAGACGTGGGTCTGGATCCCGGGATCTTCTCGTCCTCCCCAGAACCGGGCAGCCTGCCTGCCAACCCACTCAGCGGCTCCATCGGGCTCCGCGCTTCACCACCCCGCCCCCCGGGCCACGCGCGAACGCGCGTGCAGAGTCTGGGGCACCGAGTCCTCCTGCCCTGAACCAATCTACCGCCACGCGGGCGGCCTAAGAAGGACGCGGTGAATGCCTGGCGGCCCGCAGCAAGAGCGGATGGCGACGTTACTGGGCAACCGGGCTGTGAGGGGAGGTGTGGGGGAGACATGGGGGGGAGATGGAGGCGAGGTACGTGGGGAGGGGTACCTGGGGCAGGGGAGGTACCTGGGGGAGGGATGTAGGGGGAGGGGTTCAGGGGGAAGGGGTGTAGAGGGAGGGATACCTGGGGGAGGGGTGTAGGGGGAGGGGTTCAGGGGGAAGGGGCAGGGGGTACACGAAGACGTCGAGACGTCAAGTGCGGTTCACGTCGCGCTCCCCAGTCCCTAGAAACCTGTTCAGATGTGGGACTCCGAGCAATTAAAAAAGAAGTTATTAAACTCTGCGCCCCCCTCCGCCCTGAAGTGAAATGCCCCCCTTTCCCATCTTCTCTCCCCTGCCGTGTTAATAGAGTTTCAGATTTGTGCGGGGCCAGATCGATAGATGTCATCTATTAAAGGTAAGTTTTAATCGAACGATATTAGGATCAGACAGGGAAAGGGGTTTGAAGTCGGTACCTGCAAGCTGCGGGCAGGAGATATGCCGGCGCCAGTAATAGAATATCGATCATGGGGCGGGGGGGGGGGGGGGCGGCCCCTCCCAGAGACTCTCGGAACAATTACCAGATCCGCAACCCCGGGCCCCAGCTCGGCCGCCAGAGGCCCCCCGGGGTCCCCAGACGACCCCTGCTGACTTGGGGGAGAAGTGGGGGGGCTATGCGGCTCCCAGTCTCCCCAAAGACCTGAGCCGCCACCCCAGAGGTCCCTCCAAGGAATCTGGAGCCCGCCTCCACCCCCACCCCTACCCCCAGGCAGGAGTCCCGGTTTGGGTTTGATTTGTTGTAATCTTCCATCCACCAACTGCGCTGGACACTCCTTCGGGGGTCCCGTCCACGTCGGGGCTAAGTCAAAACGGGGTCCCGAAGAGAGAGTACCCGAAGTTAGCCCAGCCCCAGCTCCCCCTCCCCGCCCCGTCCGTTATTGGGTCGCGGGCCGAGGCCGCGTCGGCCCCTGCAGGTGTCTCGCAGGGCTTGGAAGGGCACCCGACCCGGTTCCTCACCCCTGAAATGGGGATGATGCTAAAGGCGACGCCAAGGTCGCACGACCTCTATTCCAGCCCGTGGCGAGGGCGTGGAGTACCAGTCGGAGGAGGGTGCGGGGGCCGGGGAGGCCGGGCGTTCGCTTTCCACTTGGACTGGTGGCATTTGCACGCCTGGGTGTGCAGGGGCGCGGCGCCGGCGGCAGCCCCCGAGCCTGCTGGCCGCGCGCCTCACCTGCGCCCCCCGTGCGCCTCCGACCGCTACCCGCGCCGCCTCGGCTGTCCCCGGGGCGCCTCCGGAGCTTACCGGGGGTCTCGTGCTTTCGGAGCGGGTCCGCGGGGCTGGCGTCCATCGCAGCTTCGGCCGCGGCCAAACTTTCGCCGGTATCCTGGGGAGGAGCCGGGCGCGCCGCCGGCAGCGCGGCGCGCGTGAATTTCCGCGGATCCAGGATGTCCAGCACGGAGAAGGAGATCTTGTGGTGGGAGGGCGCCGCCTGGGCTCCGCCGTCCTGCCACGCCAGCATGCCGGCCGCCCACGGGCCCCGGGGGCCGGCGGCTCGGGGTCCGGGATCGCCAGGCGTCGGGGTAGCTTTTCGGCCCGACGACCTCCAGCCCGGATCTGAGTTGACTCCGCCGAGGGAAAGTGGGGAGGGGACCTGGGGGCGGGGCGGGAAACGAGTCGCGGGGGGCCGCGCGCCCATTGGCACCTGGGTGTCTCGGGCCCTCGCCGCGGGCAGGGTGGGTGCGCAGGGTCCGCTGGCCGGGGCCGAGGCGGCTCCGCGAGGCGGGGCGCGCGCCTGACACGCGGGGACAGCGCGACGGATTGCACGAGTTTCCACCCGACCTGCAGAACTTGGCTCGGCCCAGGTTCCCCCCTCCCTCGCCCCAGCCCTCCCCCCCCCCCGAATCCTCGGGGCACACACAGCTCCCTCTGGCTTGAGTTTGCGTCCTCGCCCTGGGACACCTGCCTTCTTCCACTTGGGGATGCCACGGAGGCCAGGACCAAGGGCATCCAAGGCGAGGCGGAGCGCATCTCGCGAACCACCGCGATGGCTCCAGAGTCGTCTAAACGCATCCGAGGGGAAAGCCTTGGCGGCCTTGCGGGTCACCGCGCACAAAGCGCTGCGGCCTCCGCCATCTCCCTCGCGGATCTGGGAGTCCCTGTGAGGGGGGGGGGGAGCCTGGCGTAGACCACCACCGCCTTTGAAAGAAGAGAATGCAGAGGTTCAAAGAGAGCAAGTCGTCTGTCTAGAGGTAGAGAGTTCGCGAGACAGTCTAGGCTGGACCAGGGCTGGATCTTTGTTTGTTGCTTGGTTGGTTGGTTTTATTTCTTACCGTCTGTCTTGGTATTTCTCACCGGAGAGGAGGCTTTCTCTTTTACCCCAAAAGCTCTGCAGGGACAGAGAACCAAGGGAGACCAGTGGCAGGCTCGGGGCAGGGGACACGGGCGGAGGGGAGCTGCCCAGGTGTGTTGAGTCCCCAGGACCCGGCCCTTAAAACGCTGCAGGCCTTGATTCTCACCAGGGTTCTGAGCTCTGTCCCCAAGAAGGAAAAGGTTAAAAGAGGCTGGCTGGTTTGCATTAAGATCAGGGAAGGGAGACTAAGATGGGCCCCATCTGAGTCTTCCAGGTCTCCTGGGGTGGTAGTTGTTGGGGAAGCTAAAGCCACCACACCAGCGCTAATATAACTTTTTTCTTGTCACTGGCAGTCATGAAAGCAGTAGGTATTTGCTTCGTGGTAGTTTCTGAGGCTTTCTCCAGTCCCCTCCACTCGGAGCCTCCACCAAGAAGACTGCTTCTCCTTTCTTCCCGGCCCCATGCTGTTTCCAAACAATGACCTAGCAATTAATATTGTCTAAGGCAGATAAGAAGTAGGAAGGGGAGGAGAAGTCTTCTCTTCAAGGGCTGGGAGCTACTAATCTCATCTGTTATTGAAGAGGCGTTCTTAGAGCCCGGCTCCCAGTAGCTTTTCTCATTCAAACCTTCGGCCCCTCCCCGAGGTAGCCACCATATTCCCTGCGGACTTGAAAGCCCTGCCGACACTCAAACCAGCTCCAGTCCCAAAGAGAAGATGGATTGTGCTTTTAAAGCTCAGGACAGGAAGTTGCCCGACCCAGACCCACCGGACCATCTCTGGCCCAAAGGAATGTTTCAAAGGAGGAAACCCAGAGAACAGACAACCCTGGAACGGAGAGACAGCACCCCGAAGCCAAGGTGCTGTGTCAGAACACTCCAGAATACACACTGAGAGTTCTTCTCTGTTTAGACAACTCTTTCTCACCTGGTTCTCACTTACTTAAAAGGAGAAGAAGAAAAAAATCTTCCCCTTTCCCCTTTAGCATTAGATGAGGGCCTTGAATGCTCCCAGCCTCCCCAAATCTTTCCCCTCCACTACTGACTTCAAAGCGTCTACATTTTCCTTCCCACACGCATCTCTATGTAAAGATGTCTCTATCAATCATCTATCTATATCCTAAGTACACTCAATATAGATACAAACAATAACATTGTATTATATATATATATATATATATATATACATGTATATACACCTATAGATATAGACAGACAGACAGATTAGATTCCTCGGGACAGCAGGAAGCTAGATCTCCATAAGGTTGCTCCAGAATGAAAATACTATGTGCAATTTCCTACCATTGCTACCAATCCTCCTCTTACTACTTTCCTGTATTTTACAGGGTGGGGGAATTAGCATGCCTGAGGTAACTTATATCCCCTCACGAGGGACAAGGAAGGCCTCTGGCATAGCAAGGACAACTGGAATCACTGTTTTACACTTGATAAATCGCCTTACAAGGTTTTGCTTACATTTTATGAGTAGGTGTTCTTTTGTATGCGTTACTTTTCCTCTGAAGTCTAGGGGTGTTAACTATAGGAAAAGAGCAATGAGAGAGAATGTCAACAACATATAAAGGCCATCCTTTTTCTTATTATCTTCTTTAAGTAGTGGCACAAAGGGGTTTCAACTTAACATGTCAGTTTATGCGTACAAATGCATCTTGACCAATGTAACCCCTTCCCTGGCTCTCCCCCATCTCTCCCAACTCCACCCATCCCCTCAAGTTACCATTTGCACATTTGGTTCCATTTGCACATATGTACATTGAGTACTAGGACTGTTTTCACCCTCCACTCTAAAGGCCATACTCTTTAAACTTGTAGATCTTTAAGAACTTTTTGTAATGAATTAAAAATTCTTGCCTTTTTTTCCCCTAGCATTTCTTTTCTTTTCTTTTTTGTCAGTCGTGGGGCTTGCTCTCTGGGCCTCAGTGCTGTCCCTCAGCTCTTCAGCAAAAGGATAGCATTCTACCACTTGAGCCACAGAGCCACTTCCAGTTTTCCTGCCTGGGCTGGCTTTGAACCATGACACTCAGATCTGAGCCTCTTGAGTAGCTAGGATTACAGGCGTGAACCACCAGCACCCGGCTTCTAGCATTTCTTGTATGTGTGCTCCATGGAGCACAAGGCTGTGTGGACTCTTGCTCAGTGCTTGGCCTTCATCCATAGATGACAGGTAACAAACACTGCTGTGCCCATGGACAGAAGAGGCCTAAGAGCATGCTCTCAATCATCAACTTAGAGCAAACAAACAAAAAATGACATCTTCTTACCCCCCTCCTTGTACGTTACCAGTATTGGGGCTTGAACTCGGGGCATTGTACTCTCACTTGGCTTTTTCACTTAAATTTGTGGCTCTACCTACCCCTTGAGCCACAGTTCCACATCCAACTGTTCAATTAATTGGAGATAAGTCTCATAGACTTGGCTTCAAACTGTGATCCCCAGATTCAGCCTTCTGAGTAGCCAGGATATGATCTTCAGCTTAAGAGGAAATCACATAAGAAAGCTTAAGGAAATTTGTTTTCAAGCTACTTGCTTTATGTAGACATGTGTTTATACTGGCTTGCTCCTATTTAGTGCATATGTCCACATCCAGCCAGCCATCTTCCCCTTGCATGGAGTTGATTTGATTTTTTTTTTTCCAGCATGGGTATTAGCATTCCGCCTGAGTGCTGTCTTTAAATTGCTTTGATGCTAGGTGGGTTCCAACCCTGACCTGTCCTGATGGTAAGTGATGGCTGTAACAAGCCCAGGATCAATATTCATAGCGGGTGTCCTGGGCTGATAACACTACTCAAGACAATGTTCGCTATCAGCGTGGACAGCAGAGCTATTGCACCATTAGGGATGTTGTGTTAAATAACCTGATCCATTTCTGGGGCTATTTAATGAATTTCACAGTTTAGATAGTATCTGGAGGAGAAGGCAAAGGCTATCCCAGAGGCACTGATGCACATCAATGGTGCCAGGCTTCCCTGGCTAGTGCACACTGAGTAATTCCAGCATAGCTTTGGGGAGCTGCTGTCTGGGCTGTGAATGGTATTAACAATGGAGAGACTGGGCCTTTATGCAAAGGGAGGGAAGGCAATATTACAAACCACCTTAAGCACCTTAGATAAAATCTTATGTTTCTGGAATTAAACACAATTATAGCTCTCTAGGTAACACCCCTCAGTGTGGGCCTGCCCACTGCGGGGGAGGGGGTAAGACATATGCCAAAGAGACAGCTTTATAAATGTGATGCTGGTGGCTCACGCCTGAAATCCTAGCTACTTAAGAGGCTAAAATCTGAGGAGCCGGGCGCTGGTGGCTCACGCCTGTAATCCTAGCTACTCAGGAGGCTGAGATCTGAGAATCGCGGTTCAAAGCCAGCCCGGGCAGGAGAGACCGTGAGACTCCTATCTCCAATAAAAACCACCAGAAAACCAGAAGTGGCGCTGTAGCTCAAGTGGTAGAGCGCTTGCCTTGAGCTGAAGAGCTGAGGGACAGCGCCCAGGCCCAGAGTTCAAGCCCCACGACCGACAAAAAAATAAATAAATAAAATCTGAGGATCACAGGTCAAACCCAACTTGGGCAGAAAAGCCATAAGACTTCCACCTCCAATTAACCAGAAAAAAAAAAAAAAAGCTGGAGGGGCTGGGAAGGTGGCTCAGTGGTAGAGCGCTTGCCTTGCATGCCTGAAGCCCTGGGTTCAATTCCTCAGCACCACATAAGAAAAAAGAAAAAAGCCAGAGTGGCGCTGTGGCTCAAGTGGTAGAGCATTAGCCTTAGCTGAAGAGCTGAAGGACAGCGCCCAGGCACAGAGTTCAGGCTCTATGACCAGACCCCTTCCCCCCCCCCAAAAAAACAGCTGGAACTGAAGATGTGGGTTCAAGTGGTAGAGCACCAGCCTTGAGCATAAAAGCTAAGGGAGCTGGGCATCAGTAGCTCATGCCTGTAATCCTAGCTATTCAAGAAGCTGAGATTTGAGGATCATGGTTTGAAGCCAGCGCAGACAGTCTATGAGCCGCTTATCTCCAATTAACTACTCAGAAAAAGCCAGAAGTGGTATTGTGGTTCAAGTAAGTAGATTGTTAGCCTTGAACACAAAGAAACTCAGGGACAGTGACCAGGCCTTGAGTTCAAGGCCCAGGAACAGGAAAAAAAAAATCTAAGGGAGAGCA